AACACGCGGGATGGCCCTCCTGGCATGCTCCTACGTTTCCGAGGGCGCGATCTGCTCTCGTCCTCTTCATCTCGGGGATGCCGCGCTGTGTGTAATGTGTAATGCAGGGGAGGGGAATTGGATGGACTGACTCTGTCTCACCAAAAGAGAGAAAAAGGCTGTATTGTTAATTGCATGATGCACGCATATGCATGCGTGCGACTCTTGTCACAGCACGAGAGCAACAAAAAACAGCGTTACGCCCACCACCAGACTAACCCGGGTACTGACCAAGCAGAACCACGCAGCAGGAGAGGCTGTTCCCGATCCCTCCACTGCTGTGCTGTTGTGTATACCCACCGTGATCTGGGTTTCCTCTGTATTGTTCCGGTGTTGCGTCCCACAACAAACAAATATTTTCTTCGTCTGCCGAAATATGAAAAGGAGGCGTGATTTAATTTTTTTTTCTTGACATGACCCAACATGACGAATCCATCTCTAGATACTTGTATAGATCCTTGTAGACATATCTTTCAAATCTCTACCAGGTATATCTTTAGATGTCGAAAAGAGTCTAAGATCGTATGTAGAAATTGAATCCGCAGTGGTGTCAACGAGAAGGCTACCTCTACTTCCACGGTTTCCCGAGCAGCACACAGTGACATATCTCACCCGTGGGTAACAGGGTCAACAAGACAGTTTGGTAGCCGTCTTGTGCATCACTAAATAAAAATAATTAAAGTGGCGGAGTTCTCCAGGACCCAGCACTCCGCACCAAAATAATAATAACCACAGCAGCAGCAGCTGTGCTGCATTTCCAACTATCGTACAACTACAACAACAGCAGTAGTAGCTTAGTCTAGGTATGTACCAAGGTGATATGATCTTTCCGAACCTAGAAGAAGTATTCTACGAGAGAGAGAGCGCGCGCGAGAGAGAGGGAACAGACCAACCAACAACAAGAGCGCCGCGGGGCGCGCGGTTGGGCGGTCGGATAACCTACATACAGCAGCAGCAGCAGTCGGGTTGTTAGCAAGCCCTTGATGTCAAGCCGCTATTTGTTTCGACAGACCCATGTGCGCCCTGCTGCCCAAATTTGTTCGACGTAAGGACGCTACAAGTAGTAGACTACAACATATATATCTTTAGTAGTATACTTCTACTCTATGGTATATATATCTAGTTGACGCCCGCACGTAGTAGTGTAGGAACCTTCGTCGTGGTTATTATTGGTTTCGACCGAGCCGCTGTGGCATAGACTACTCCTCCTCCTGTGGTATTATATATTAAATGCGGTGGCCGGTATTATTGTGCCATAGAAATTTTCTCTCTGTGTAGACTATATATCTACAGAGGAGGAAGAGACCCCTCCCAAATGGTGATCGATCAAGCTTCTCTCCTCTCAGATGATACCTTTATTTACTTGATTGACTTGTTTTTCCAGAGAGGCTAATTTCTTCACCACCAAGTTCGGGCGCTAATTATACATACTTTATGATGATTACGGCTGGCTGCTGTCGTCGAAGAATAGATGGTGGCTCACCATCCAACCAACTACCGCCGCCGCAGTGTGCATACATACTATACATACATGGCATACAATACAACATAATAATACGTCCCTCCTTGAGGTTGGTCTATTCGCGGGTGGGTGCATACCGCGAGAGCGAGACAACATGTATGTATGTGTATGTATGTATAGTATGTTGAATGAGCACGGGCGACGAAAAATGTTACCTTTTTTTGTGTTCAAAGACAGACAGAGGTAAACAAATAAAAACTGGTGGTATTATTATTGTTGTTCGACGCGTGGTATCTTGTTATTTGTTAGGTGTTGAATATTCAATCAATCAATGTGTTCTTCTTGTGTGTCTTCACATCATCATCATCAATCATCATTATTCGTTCGTGTCGGGTATGTATGTAGTACTGTATCCGAGGTATGTATGTACAGTACGCTTAAGGCAGCAGCGTAGTACGTTATTGTTGGATCTCTGCTCACTCAGTGTATAGTAGTAGCATAGTGCATCTTCTAATAATAATAGCAAGTGCATCTTCTACATAATAAAACACAGAGGGTATAGATTCACTCCAAATTTGTACAGCCAGCCGAACTGAAGGAGACCCAAAAAATCAACATGATATAGCCACCAAAACAAAATAAAAACCCAAGAGGACACGAGCAGTTCAGAACGCAACAACAAACTACATGTAGGTGCATGTAAGCTATATTTGAGCATGCATGCATCATACGACCTTGGACATGCCGGACGGACAAGGAACATCGGTAGAGAGAGGGGATCGATACGCAGAGCCCATCACCGCCCCCACATGAAACAACGCACAAGGCCAACCAACCAAGGAAAATATACCACACAATAACACAGAAGAAGAAGCAGAGCGCACGCGGCCCCCAACCTTACTTAGCGTTCCTCCTCTCTCTCTGGAACCAACGAGGTCGACCGTCTCCATACAGTCAGTATCGATATTATACCGGGCGTGCGCCCTTGGGACGAACATTTACTTTTCTTTGCGTGCTTGATGATGATGTGATGTATGTACAGAAAGACATGTTTTTGAACATACAGCACACTTTATCTGTGTACACACACACACATCGAGGGGCGATCCTTTGAGCAGAGCCCAGTGACACGCACAGGAGTCCATACCTTGACAATGGGCTCGCACTCGCACTAGCTGGGGTTGGGACCAAAAAGTGCGTGTGTGTGTGTTTTTATTATTGGCATCGACCGCGCTAACCGGCTGACCAATGAAAAGACGTCAGTCTTAGTGCGGTTGAAAACACAAAACACTTCTATCTGCCATTAACTGGGACCCCGTGAGGGGGCAGCATGGAGGAGGCTAAACTATCCTTCGGATCAAGACAGAAACAGCAGCAACAGATCTGTGTGTGTGTGTGTGTGTGTGTGTGTGTGTGTGTGTCTTTTTATGCCTGCCTGCGTCCTGTTGTTGGAACGCAAAGAAACCTGCACAGAGGTGAAAAAGTTCCAAGAGTTTCGTGTGCGGCATATATCTGCTAGTAGTATGTATGCATACTGACTGGTGGAGTACCACTGAAGAACGGGCCCACAGATACAAGAAACTACAAATACATCGGGTCAGGGCTTAGATTGCAATTTCATCGCCGCTGCTGCTGTCGAGCACAGGTTGTACGAGTTTATATAGTCTATTTTCGTGAGTATTATTCTTCGTGAAAAGTGAGCGAGCCTGCCTCTGTTCTTATGGTCCGCTCACGGAAAGCAAGGGAGGAGTCGAAAGCTACAACACTGCTATGTGTAGTAGTCTAACTGCTCCCAAAGCAACAGAAGTCCCCCTCGTTGGACGTAGGTACGTAGTCGAGGTAAACCCTCGGGGTCGTTATCCCCATCCTCTATCCAGAAGAACCAAAATCCCGTCTTGTAGGTCATTATAAACTTCGAGTTCTGTAGTTCCACAGCCATTGGTACCTAGTCTGTCTGTCAGCCTGCTTTTACGGACGCGTTGTCCTCGAATCGATTGGACCCGGAGAGGAAACTCGAGCGCCCCAGACGAGTCAACGCATCTCCTCGGAGGAAATCATCCGAACAACAATCAGTGCCCGGGTATTTTTGGTTGGGCGACAACGAATGGGAGAGCTGCTGCAGGGTTCGACCTCCTAAACTACCCCTTACACGTATGGTACCTACCCCCCCGTGCGCACGATCCGAAACGAACGCGAAAGCAACCAGGTGGAAACTTTTAGGCGCTCCCACGACCGTCCGTCCAAACAATCGCGGTAAATGGAGGGAGACGCAACGTTCTGAGCAGGCGCGAGAGGCCCGTTTCCAGGGATTGAGAACGAAAGAGGTAACAGCACCAAAAAACATCACACCCGGTACACAGTTTCTCAAGCACGGGCTTAAGAACACGAGACGCGAATCGATTCCGGATCAAAGAGCTAGGTTTCACCTAGGTATTTACAGATGATGACAAATCCCGCATAGACGCCAAACCCAACCCACGGGGTTAGCATACTGGCATTCGTCCGTAACCCCTCAACCCCCCCCACACACACACACTACCCGTTCGACTCCAAAACGATCATCTTACCCCCCGCCCCGCTCCGCCGTCTGCCATTAACCGCACGCGAATGTTGCGGTCGAAAACGCCCCCTGGAATCGGGGCGCACTACATATCTCCTGTATACGTGAAGGGGGTTGTGGTTGGGAACGCTTACCTTTGGGACAAAATTGTTGTGGTACACGACGACAGCGCTCTGCAGTGTTAAGACTGACCCACCGCCTAGGAGGAACAGGGCCGGTGTTCAAAGGCCAGGCCCCACCAACTGGACTGCACGGACGCCGAACGAATCATACGGCGACCCAAGCTGCTGCTGCTGCCGCTGCTTGTGAGAACCCGCCAACAATGCGAGAACTGCTCGGTTTTTTTAGTGGTGCGCCTGCCAACCCGCTATTCCTCTCCACCATACCAGTGGGTAACAACGTGGCTGCGAGTGTCTCATGTACAAGCATCAACCAGGGCACGCAAACGGGTTCGTCGTGTTCGACACACCTACCCCCCCCCCCCCCCACCCTCT